GACATCTGAATACAAGCCATAAGAGCTCTCTGAAGTTCTGGGATTACAAGGTATTTCTTAATTTTTAGCAAAGTAACCTTTGTACATAGTTTTCATGATTCAAAAGATACAAAGGTATCTTTATTTAAGGCTTCAGTGAGCATCCTTAGCCCTTCTCACCCTTGTGTAACCCCAGAGGCAATCATAGTGGTTGTCTAGCATTTCTTAGGTGGCTAGTCTGTATCTCTGATAGGCTTGCACGGTAGGTAAGATTTTAGCTATTATCTAATGAGTCTTGCTGTGATAGGATTAGTTAATTTACTTCTCATGCTTTACCTCCCTAAACAGCTAAAATGATCTTTTCTATTCCTTTAGTCATTGACTCAGTAATTTCAAGCAGTGCACTGGTATCTATCTTTCTTTTTATCTTTGTGGGGTGGGTGAAATAAACAATGTGATTATAGAGCACACAAGCCAAATACTAGTGGAATCACCTCTGAAACAGAACAGTTTCAATGCTTTTAAAACTGCTTCCTACCACCCATAAAACCATGACTCTGAATCTTGCTATAATTTTTCTTATTTTCCTATTGAGTTCTTTACTTTTGTATGCATCTGTCAATATTGTGATTTGTTGAAAATACAACCACACTTTGTATTCTTCTGCATCATGTATCTTTCCTTCAAAGCTGTTAAGGTAATTTAACTTGGAGAGCAAAACTGTAGTTCATGTATGTTAGCAACTATATAATCACTCGCTGTTCAAGAGGGCCACAGTTTATTTACCCACTGGGCTGTTGATGGATATTTGGGTTTGTTCCTGTTTTCTGCTGTCATAGGCATCCCAATTCCTATGTGCATGCAGGGGTTTCTGCAGACAACGTGGGCATACAATCACCTGTAACACATTTTCCAGTGTGGCTGCACTTCCTGATTCTGACATCTTTAAGTGGAAGAGGGATGAGCATGGGGACTGTCCCAAGTTTCCCTGTGTGATTCCACTGTGAGGTTCCACATACCACCTTTACCTGCAGCACATCAGCTCTAGATGTTGTTTCTCAACATTTAGAAGGAGCAACACTGAATCCTGTCTCCTTTCCTCCCTCAAGATTTCTGTGTGTTGCACTGAGAGAGGTAATAAGGGCCTTTCCCAGGCAAAGTGAAAGTATAGGGACGAGGTAAAAAAGTGGTCAAGGCATGGTTACAACAGTGAGACAAAGGCACTTCCTGCAGGCACAGCTGAGGAAACCAAAGCAAACCCCAGGGCTGGAAATTCCTCCCAGAAACCAACCCCTCTCCACCTACTCATACCTCCAGTGTCTGTGTGCTAGCTGAGGGCCAGAGAGAATGTCTTTAAAACGGTGAATTTGAGTCTGACTCATAGCCAGCACAATACTTTAGAAGTTGCAGGGAATTCTAGACCCTTCTAGAGACCTTACGGTCACATTTTTTTTTAGAGGGATTCCAAACACATTCTGTTTCTCAACCCTTGCTCAATATTTGCAACATGTAGGAGCTTTGACTAAATGCTGTTGTCTGGGACTCTAGCAGAATTTCTAAAGTGACCTCATGATTTTTATATACAGCCAAGGTAGAAAACCTCTGGTCACTGAAACCCATCAGAATCTCCTGCAGGGGTTTAAACAGTTCATCTTGCCACTTGACTAAGACATTTCAAGAGAGATGATTGGGTCATGGGGGTGCTAAACTCAACAGTGGATTAATCCACTGGTGTTCAGACCTGAATGTGCTATTCAGGCATGGTCACTGGAGACTGTCTTTGGAGGGTAAATCTCACTGGTGCTCTCCCCTATGCTCTGCTTCTGGGGCCACCATGAAATAAGGGAGTAGCTTTGCTCCATGGTTCTGCCTTGGAACCAGTTTACCATAGACTGAAACTCCTAAAACTGTGAGCCACCTCAAACCTGTCCTTTAAGTTGCAGGTATCAGGTATTTTGTACCAGCAATGGGAAAGTTGACCAATACAAGTGTGCTAATAGGCTGATTTCTGGGTTTCACTCCTGGTTTCAGACTCTATATATCAGAAATGGGCCCTTGAATATACATTTCTATTTCCCCATGTTCCTTCAGTCACACTTGAGAACCAACTCATAGGTCTGAAGTTCTGCCTGCACAAATTACCTGGGTATTTCCCTGTGAGGATCCAGAGCAGTCCAGCTCTGTTCAGTTGCGTGCATCTCTTCCAAAACTCTGTATTGTGTAGTTAGGTTGGGAGCTTGAACTAGACCACAAACATGGAAAATTCCACAAATCAGGACTTTTGCCAACCTCCAGTCAGTTACTGTGTGCTCAGCCCAACCCATCAGGGGTCAGTGGGGGACACTGGGAGAGTGTTATCAAGCTACAGGAGATCCTTGGCTATAAAGGATCAGGTCACCATTGATGGGGGGTAGATGCATACAGCATCTTCATGGTGATTGCCTGTAGAGCTTCCATGTATGAGGGAGGACAGGTACATCCTGCACATTGAGAAGAAATTCCTGTGGTCACTGGCTCCTATGAAAAAGACTATTCTGGGTTGAGTTAATATAGGTTGTATGTCCCTTGGCTGAAAAGGACCCGAAGTGTTTTGGATTTCAGATTTTGAAAGTTTCATATTTACATAATGAGAGCTTGACAGTGAGACCAGGTCTAAGCATGAAACTCATTTTTGTTTAATATGCATTCTATACACATAGCTGGAAAGTGGTTGTATACAATATTTTTAATGATTTTGTGCATTTCACATAGTTCCATAGTGTGGAGTTTTCCACTTGCAGCATCAAGACACTGCTCAGAAAGGTTTTGTTTTATTTTGAGTTCTGGGTTTTTAGGTTAGGCAGTTAACCTGTACATTAATAGTGAACAAAACCAAGAAACACATTATGTTTTTATAGTCATTAACAGAAAATAATGGAGAGTCTGAGGATCTCAATATTTCAGATTGCTTTCTTGCTCCATGCCTAGGGAATTTTTACACATTGACCCAAGATAGTATCAGGCAGGAATGAAACTGAGGGAAACCTCCAAGTGAAGGGAATTGATTTCCTTGGAATGAACTATGACCCAGATGCCTTGGGAAGCCTATTTCTGCTTTGGTTGAAGGTTGCTGGGCTGGGCTGAGCAGCTAAAGGCATTCACCCTGCTTTTACCAGGAAATGACTTAACTTGCACGGGACGGGTACAGACCCCACCTCTGTGCTACTGTCTGGCACCTTAAAGCAAGCTCACTTTAACCCTCAGCCCCATATGGTAACAGTGCCAAACACCTTTCCTAGCAGGAGGACACTAGTCACAAATGTGAAGCCTGGAGCCCTGCTGCAGTGACCTTTCAGGCATTCACACAGACAGCAAACACTTGGCTCCTAACACAAACATATTTAAAAACTGAAGGTGTTTGGACTGGGCTGCAGCTCAATAAGTGCACTTGCCCATCATGTGCAAGGCTCTGGCTTCCATCTCAGGACCACCAAAACAAAGACCAAACCCAGCTGACTTTGATGGTCTATGGCTTTAACCCCAGCACTCTGGGAAGCTGAGACTCGAAGAGGGCAAGTTCAAGCCCAGCCTGGGCAATTTAGTGACTTAGGGGTCCCTGTCTCGTAAAGGGGGAGGGGAGCAAGTGGGAGGGAGCTATAGCTCAGTGTAAAAGCCCTAGGTTCCAGCCTCAGTACCACACAAAATATTTTTTTAAAGAGTTCTTCCCAAAAGGACCTCCCCTAGCCACCCAAGGTACTGGGCTTTTATTTCTTTAGGGAACAGTTTTTGTCTGCTGAGATTAATTCTCTTTAGAGACAGTGCCATGCTGTGTCCAGCTGACTTTTCTGTTTGGCAGATTTAGAACTCACTCAGATCACATTGTTGCCCAGACTAAGACAGAGAAAAGATTCTCTTGTGATCACTGACCCCAGCAATACCCTGAGTTTTTCATTTTGGGTGGGTGGAGGGGAACAAGTGTGTGGTGAAGACTGGGCTGACTCAGAAGCCTGGCTCTATCATCATTGTTCTAAAACTTCCTTCCATCAGTACCTTGACCTGCAAAAGACACTCAACCTTTCTCTTAACTGAGAGAAGGGTGGCCTTGGACAGCACTACAGTGGCTTTGTACCTTCAGGTGCACCCTCGGAGCACAATAGCCCTGTGTTCCTTCTGGTGAGCTGGCAGGGTCAGGCGTGGGGCACTCCCAGGATTCTGCTGCAACTGACCTTATCCACACATCAGTGTTTCCTGTTTCTAAATCACAAGAATGTCTGGATATGTAAATGGATCCTAACTTTCCCTTTCATCTCTCTGCAGTGAAGTGCAAAATGGAGGACCAGGAGGTACCCAGAGTCAAGATCACATCACCTTAGCCGCTCTCGATATCGTTTGTCAGCCAGGCACAAGTTGCCCTGTGCATATGACAAAAATGGCCACACTATGTTTTCTCTATCACTGCTTTAGTAAAGACTTGGTGCATGTGACAACAGAATCTTTTCTGAGTAAGACAGGATTTGTTGCAAATGTAGTTTTAGTACAAATAGTTTAGAAATATACCAGTCTTAAATTTTTTCATTATCCCCAAGTTAATCTTTTATCTATGTATTTTTTCAGTGCTTTAGATGTAAGCCTCTAAGCCAATTATTCTTAAAACTCATGATGGAATTCTAATCACAAGAGATGAAGTGCTCTGTTATCAGTTTCCCTACTTTTGCAAGTCCGTATTTTATGTATTAAATCTCTGCATTTTTTCTTTTGCAGGGATAGAACACAGGGCCTTGTATGGTAGGCAAGAGTTCTCCCGCTGAGCTACACACACCTTAGCTCAACATGAGTCACTTAAACCCAGACATCAATCATTCAGAATTTGTGTTTTCTAGGTCCTATAGTATTATAGAAAGTTCTGCTTTTGTGGGTAAGTTAACTCATAACTCTTACTTGTTCAGTGGTTTGCAGTCAGGCAGGATTGTCCCATTCACAATGCCACAGACTCAGCCAAAAGCCTAGGAGCAGTATGCGGTTTTGACAAGCTACCACACGTCTTAAGTAAATAGTAAAGCCTTTATTTCTTGTGTTAAGAACAGCATTTTGAAAATAAACCTATCTGCTCATGCTTAACAACCTTTCAAATTTGTAATATTTATATACAGTCATGTACGGTATGCATTGATTGTCTTGAAATTTCTGAATGATTTTTTTTAAGTATGCAAGTCAGCCAGGGGAAGATAAAGGTACATTATAAAACACACATTAATACATTTAATAAATATATATTATCTATCAAAAACGAGCCTTAGCTCTGTATCAATTAATAAAAAGCACCTGCTGAGAACTCCCCAAAGCTGGTATGATCACTGAACCCTTGGATTATAAAAGCCACTATGCCCTCTTTTAGTTTAGGTTTCAACCCAAAGTGTTCAACTCAGCCTGCAGTAACCCAGAGGACCACCCCCAGCCTGCACTTGTTCAGGGACCCTGACCCCATACATCTGTGCTAAAACAAAACAAAACAAAAAACAAAACAACCACTGGACACACAGTTTCCAACAGCTAGCTCTTAATCCTGGAAACACTTGAGATGGACAGGGCTCCCCAGTTTGTAAGTTCTTGGAACTCAGTTCCTCACCTCCCACCCTCTATGTCCAGTGGAGATACCCAGGCTGGAAAATGTTTCTATTAAAAGAGGCAACGAGAGTGGTTGTTATAGTCCCAAAGCAATGCTACTAACAAGACATGGAAAAGTTTGTGCTTACAGTGAGGGATTATTCACAGATGCTGTCCTTCCAGGTCATTTTCCCCAAGTAAGCCTTGTTTACATACACAGATCTGAAATAGAGGTACTGTTCAATTCCGTATTTAAACCTTGTTCCATAGGAAGCTGGATGCCACAGTCTCTGGGTGAAGCCTCCTCTTAGTGCTTCGAGTGAACCCATTAGAAAAATAGCAGATTTCCCTCCGTTCCCACCTTGGCCCCCATCATGAGAACATATAGCCCACCCTGAAACTTAAAGCCAAAAGAAAACAAAACCCAGAAGCACTAACCTACCAGAGATTTAAAAGCAAAAAAAAGAAATAGAAGTGGTCTCATCATTATAAGAGAGGTTTCCCATGGCTCAAAGATGGTTCTGTTTTTATGGTGTGGAAATGCTCCTTTTCACCGGTAGCCATTTATATAGATGGTGCTCACCTTATACATGTGGACAACAAAGAACTTAGAGAGACCCAATCAATCGTGTGAACTCCTCCCTTCTGCAAGGGGGGCTTTTGCAGATCGAGTCACTGATGGTATCAGAAAGCTCCAAAGGACTCCAGAGAGCAGGGGTGAGCAACCATTTCCTGGTATGAGAATGTGCAATGCTGTGGTTTTTCTGGCAGACTGGACCAAGGGATTCAGAGACTTTATTTGCAGAATGCTGGGTCTGCATGCAGCCGCCTTAGCCCCGCCCCAGGCCTTGGCTGCTTCCCTCCCCAAGACTCCCAAGTTTTCAACCCACCCAATGGTGGTCCTTGAGCAGAGAGGACCAGATCTGATTCTCTAGAAGCAAAGCACATGCTATGAGGGAGTGGGGGTTTGGTGCTTCTGGGAAGCTCAGGATGGGGGACATTTTGGTGCCATGCTCTCGTCTCCATGCTTAGTAATATAAGGAAATGCAAGAGCTATAAGGGAAATTTACACACAGGGGTGGTCAGATAGCCAGCCTCACCTCCCCAGTGCTCTGTAAGGACAGGTAGGGGGTCGGGAGGGGACACAGCAGAGACTAGGGCCTCAAGACAAATCAGGTTTATTAAAACATACTCGGCTCAGAAGTACTGGCTTATGAAGAGGTCGTTACCCCCATCTCCACCCTCACCCCCACCCCCACCCCCAACACTAACCTTTTTCATTTTCTTTAAAGGTTAAAGGCTTATGGGTAGTTTTATAGAAAAAGCAATGTGGTGATTAGAGTCTATGCAAAAGGTACCACCCTTGTTGATACATTCCACGTGTCAGGTTAAAACTCTTTGCTCTGACTTGTTGCTAGCAATTATGTTGGCCAAACAGTGCAGAGAACATGGGGGCTTTTAATGGTTGGGATGTGGAAATGCCAAGTAACAAAGGAATGACTTGCTTAGGACAGATGGAAACCATGACAGAAACATGGGCTTTGAAGAGAGCCATTTTCATGAGACTTGCAGAAAAGCAAGAGAAAAATGTCCCCCACTTTCTCCTAAAGCAGCAAGAAACCCTCATGGGATTCACTCCGTCTGGGAACTTTCCCCTGATCCACAGAAAAGATCTAATACGTCACTGCTTGTAGGCAGAAGGACATCATCTCTCCATCCTACAGGGGAGCCCTGCTGTGTGACATCATCATGGAAATCTGCTATGGCACTGGCCTTCCAGTCTGGCTCGTGGAGGGGCTTCCAGCCCATGGCTCCATTTGAGCTTTTCGAACAAACCAGCAGATAGAACTGGGAAAGGGACCCCTGTAAGTGCAAGAAGCCGGAGGGACTGTGGCACCACAATGCTTGACTATTTCTGGGGCTCCACAGAGAAGGGGGCAGGATGGCTTTCTTGTCATAGGTGCTAGAACAAGATGATGGTCACTTCAATACCCAGAGGGTCTCTCCTCTTTGGCACATGCCAGGTTCCTATACCACTTCTGGCTATAAAGCTGCCCCCACGATTTACCTTAGAATCACACCCACAGCTTCTTAACTCCTCTGAAATGTGCAAACCACCAGGCAAGCCAGGAAAAGCTTCTACTAGTCATCCTCAATAACACAGTCATCTCCAAGAGATGGCCTGGATCTGGCACTTGCTGGGGAGGGTGATGGGCTGTCCCCCACCCTCTATATGGCCAGCATCAGCCAGGCCATAGGCTGTGAATTCAATTCTGTTCTACCCCCAGAGGATGATACAGTCTCCCCAGCCACATTTGCCCGTGAGCCTAATACTATTTGCAATGAGCTCTGTTTTAGTTTGCAGGGACCAAGGTTTGTGTGGCATTAGGTGTCTGTGTCTGTGTGTCTGTGTGTGTGTGTGTGGCAGAGGAGGGCAGGGGAGGGCAGTCGGTGTTAGCTTTTCAGTTCATCAGTGTTCACATTTACACAAAAGTCCCTCGGCCGGGATTTCCAACTCTCCTGGCTGTGAGGCGGCCTTGCTCGGCTACTGTTACTGATTTCTCCCTCAAGAAAGACACAGCCAGGGAATGGAATTGGTAAGAGAGAGTCTTATTCTCTGAAATTTAAAGTTGTTCACCAGAGGTGTCTTCCAGTGTGAGTTGGCGGAGCAGTTGGGATCTGGAATAACACATAAGGATAACACACTGAGAACTCATCGTCAATATCAGAAATTGCTTTGTTCACAAGGTGCTAAGGGTAAGCTGGTCTGCTCTTACCTAGATGGGCTGAACAGTTCCCAAAGAAAGCAGCAACCACGATGGGCCACGTTGTTCTGGGTCTTGGGAGGGCCACCCTCCCCTGTGCTGCAATCATTCCCTCTAAGAAATAGGCTTCCTTACCCAGAAAGGCACTCTCTAAGCTTTGGGTGTTTTTACTCACACTGACTTTAAACAAATCAGAAGAGCTTAACAGTGACAGGTGGGGACTTCTCTATATTTATTATAACACACAGGCTAAATGCTTGTGAACCGGGCTTTTCTTGGCTCTGGACAATAATTAGCACAGTGGATGATGAGGAATTTTAAAAATACAAATCTGTAATTCTTTTGATATTTGAGCATTTTCTAAGCCAATGCATACCGAGGTCTAGTGGACCATTCACAAGCCAATAAAACCAAAGTTCCTTCCAGAAATCAAAGATCATCCCTTACTTACATTTATTTAATTAAAAAAATCAAAAAACAAAACCAAAAACTGCGCAGGTTGAATATGGAATTGGCACATGAAATAAAGAATGGAAATTCAATTTACACATGTAAACTGGCTCATGTGCTTTTTCTGAGAGAAGCATACAGCTATGTTGGGAAATTAAATGTAGGGATGAGAGTGCATCTTAGAATTGCTAGAAAAACAAAATGATGTCCTTCCATAGAGGCAAAACAGAAAGGATGGGTGATTCTGCTGATGGTCTGTTTGGCATCAGAGAGTAAACCTGACTTTGTGTTTGAAGAGTCAAAAGTAATCGCTTTGATTTCTAAGATGTCTCTTAGGAGTTGGGGTGGGTCGACCCCTGCCCAGTTGAGGCACAGAATGGAGACCAAGGGATTTAAACTAGGTTGGAGTTAGCAAAATCTGCAAGGGGTACTTCATGCTGTGGGCTTTCCCTATAAATCATTTCCCAGGGAGAGGGTTGGGGCACTGTATTAAGGGAACCAAATAATTCACTGGGTAAAGAAACCCTAGAAATAGGTACTCTTCCTAAGGAATCTACAGATGGGTAAGTACCATATAGGTAGGTTTTCTGTGAGTCAATAAAGGGGTAGGAGTGAAAGAAGAAAAATACAAGCATTGCATGCATTTAGCTGCAAGGGATGTCTACTTGAGCAGCTATCTTTGCAGGCCACAGAAGCAGCCTCCACAGGACATGTGGCCCTGTTGCAGCTGCTCCCCGCACAGTGTGCACTTGGGCTTGCTGCCCAGCATCACATCTTGATACTTACAGTCCCACCATTGAGCACAACGGCCATCTCGGTTGGCTGATACACATTGCTTCTAAACGGAGCGCTGGGTCTGTTTCCCAAGCCACCACTGGGTTTCTTCCCCAAGCTGCCACTGGATCTTTTTCCTAAGCTGCCGTTGGAAAATCCTGCTGTCCGGAGAGCTGAGGAAGGGAGGGAGGAGTAAAAGAGGGAGGGAGATATTGGCAATAGGACAACACCAAAAAAGAAACATGATTTTGTTTTCTTCTTATGCATCAACAAAGTACTCTGGGCACCCCCACCCACTCAGCCACTGCAGTGGCTCCTCCCATTTGTCACAAGCCTGTTTCAAAACAAAAATCACAAAGGCACTTTGTTTTCAGGCTCTCTAGGAGTCTGACCCATCTCACTGGAGCTGGGAAGTTTGTAGAGTCCACGGTGCCTGCAGCTTTCAGAGGCAGGAGGCCGAGAGTCTGGACTAGCGATGGCAAACCTTTTAGAACTTTCAGTGACATTGAACAGTTTGCTGTGGCACTCGTGTCATAGGGTCACCACCACTGGCCAGAGCCTCCCTGCACACAGATGCCACAGGTCACGGCAGCCTTCAGGTCTCCTCTGACAAAAGAGCTCCCCTCCTCCTCCCTGCACCAACATTCAGAACTGGGTACTGTTTCTGGATACACACAGAGGTAGGAACGGCTAACAGTACAGACATCAAGCACACAATAGCACCTGTCATCATGGGAAAGTGGCCTTGCACGGATACCTAGGGTTATCCCAAACAGGAATAAAAAAAAAGGACAGTCAGTAACAATTAATGGAAAAGTAAGTTGGCATTTTTTACCTTGGCACGGTGGGTAAATGATGTTTCCTATTTGCTGTATTTTTACATTTCATGTAAAGAAAAACGTAACACATGGAGGAACTTTAAATGCTTGTTGCTAAGTCAACGAAGCCAGTCTGTAAAAGCTTACAGTGGATGACACCAGCTATACAGCTACTGGAAAAGGCAGGACTATAAAGACAGTAAAAGACAAGTGGTTGTCAGGGATTGGGGCAAGGGTAGGGATGAGCAGGAGGTGTCCGGGGAGTTTAAGGCAGTGAAATTATTCTGTATGATGATACACTGAATGCAATCACAATGTACTTGGCAAAACCCATAGAACTGTGTAACACAACAAGTGAACTCTGATTAAAATACAGACTTTCTGGTAAGTGAGAGGTCACGAGTTTGATCCCCGGTACCAATAAATAAATAAATTTAAAAAATAGACTTTATATCCGGGAGTATAGCTCAGTAATGAAGTGCTTATTGGGGCTGGGGATTTAGCTCAGCGGCATAAGCACCTGCCTTGCAAGCAGGCAGTCGTGAGTTCGATTCCTGGTACCGATAAAAAAAAAAACGAAAAAGACCAAAAAAAAAAAAAAAAAAATCTTATGAAGTGCTTATCTAACATGCACAGCCCTGCTGGTGGTGGTGGGGCAGCGGATTTAAGACTTTTGATCAAAATAACGTATTAATATTGATTTGTCAGCTGCAACAAACATATGACTAATGCAAGTTGTTAACAGAGGAAACTGCATGTGAATGGGGATGTGTGTATGAGAACTTCCTGTGATTTCTGTTTAATTTTTATTGTTATTCTGGGAATGAGTTTGGCTTTTGTCCATACTAGGCAAGCACTCTATCACTGGGCTATATCTTTTTATTTTTTAATTTTGAGACAAGGTCTCCCTATATTGCCAAGATGGCCTTGAGTTTACAATCCTCTTGCCTCAGCCTCTTGAGTAGCAAGGATTACAGTTGTGTGCCACCATGCCAGGCAACTTTTCGATAAACTTTTCGAAAACGCTGTTTTAAAAAGAGGAGAAACTAGGGGCTGGGGATTTAGCTCAGTGGCATAAGTTCCTGCCTTGCAAGCAGGCAGTCGTGAGTTCGATCCCTGGTACCGATAAAAAGACCAAAAAAAAAAAAAAAAGAAAAAAGAGGAGAAACTCTTATTTTCAAAATCATAACAGAATCTTCTCATTTGTGAGATGGCATCATCACCATTTTTCTTCTCACTGAAAGCACTAATCCTAGCCAGGCGTGATGGCACATACACCTGAGATCCCAGCACTCTGAGAGGCTGAGACTGGAGGAAAACAACTTCAAACCCAGCCTGGGAAACTTAGTAATTTAGTGAAATCCCTGTCCCAAAATTAAAAAACAAAAGGACTGGGGATGTAGCTTAGTGCAAAGGCCCTGGGGTTCAAAGCCCAGTAGTGTGTGTGTGTGTGGTTCTAATCTTGTTTTAGTTAAAAAAATAATAATAAGTAAATAAAATTCATTTAGGGCTGGGGGCATGGCTCAGTGGCAGAGCACTTGTCTAGCATGTAAGGCCCTGAGTTCCATCCCCAGCATGGGAAGCAGGGAGTAGGAGCGAGGTCTTCTTAAAAGCCTTCCCTGAATAGAGGCATTTGTCTGGCTTAAATGAACACAAAAGCTCGGATTTTTTTTTTTTTTTTTCAAATTACTTGAGACAGGGATCTGAATCCCTTTAGTACTATAGTTAACCTCCGAGGAGTACCACCCAGGAGCCAGACACTGAAAAATCCTAAATATGCCCAAGGTCACACAGCTGGTAAAGGACAGAATGAGCATTTGAGGCCAGAATGAGAACTGGGGTTCTTAACCAGCATACCATACCGTCTCTGGGTAACTGTTCTTAACCATTACACTAAGTGATTTAGAAGAAACTTGAGTTAAGTGACATTAGAAGACAGCTTGTTTCGGACTGGAGCAAAATAATGGAGGTGGGATGGGCAATGCAGATTCCAAGAATAATTAAGAAACCTTGTCTTGCTTTGGCATCTCCAAGCCTTTAAGTAGCTGATTTTATCACTGTTTTGAAATGCAGTGCCACAGGAGCTGGAGGTGGGGTGGGCACCAAGGTTCCACTTGGATCCTCATCTAAGGTGTGCCTGAAGTCCCTCTCTACAGTAGCCATCTGCTCTGATGAACACCCAACCTACATTTAAGACCCTGCAGTGTTGGCCACAACTGCCTCCTTCCTGGCCTCAGATGGTCCCATGACTCAGGCTTGGCCAACCAGGGCAGGTCATCTCCCTGGACAGACTGATTGGCTCAGGGAAAGGGAGTTACGTCCAATCAGAGTTAAGCCTGGGAGCTACGCTTAAGCTCGAGGGAAATGTTTCACTCTTTCACTGGGCTTCTGTGCAAGCCTAGAGCTCATGGGCTGCCATAATGCTAACAGCCAAGAGTCCAAATCTTACAATCCGAATCTGAACCTTTTTGCAGCCCGATACCCACTATATTTATTAATGGTTTACCCTGAGCAGCACTCCTAGCCTAAAGGGTCTGTTTAAATAGTATTTAACTCTAATGAGATCTGAGAAAACAAATCCTCTAACAAAGAAAGAACATTTTTCTTGCTGCTTTGAAAAGTGAGCATTTACCGTGCCTTGTTAATGCTAACGTGTGATCCAAGATGCCATAATCCGTCAGTGTACTTTCATCCTGTGTCGCATACCTCATGCTTCATTGATATTTATTCATGAGCTACAGGCTGGTCAAATTGTATATATGTAGGGCCTCACTCAGGAGAAGAAAATATGGGGGTGAGGCTACACTACTGTGCAGCCAAGAGAACATCCCTGCCATCTCAGGGCACATCAGAGATGGGGTCTCAAGGGAAAAGAAGCCAGGCACAGTTGCACATGCCTACAATTCCAGCATTCTGAGAGGCTGAGGCAGGAGAACTGCAATTTCAAGCTCTGCCTGGGCAATACAGCAAGACCTTGTCTCAAAATTATAAACAAAACCAAGAAAGAGAGAGTGAGAGACAAAAAGAGACTGACAGAGAAAGACAGAGACACAGAGACAGAGGGAGGGAGGAAGAAAGGAAGGAAGGCAGGCAGGCAGGTAGGCTAGGGATATATATATAGCTCAGTGTGAAGGCTCTGGGTTTAATTCTTAATAATATTACCAAAAAACAAACAAACAAAACAAAAAACCCACAACAACAACAACAAAAACAAAACAGAGCCTGCAAGGCTGGCAGGAAGTTTCAAATGCAAGAGAAACAGAACCAAATACAGCTTCTGTGCCCTAGCTATTCCAGGAGGTCCAAGGGCTCCAGGATTAGGATCCATATGGGGCCAGGTTCCTAAAATACAAACTGGTTGAGGTCAGCACCAAAGATGCCAACAGCTGCTCCTCTGTGGCAAGGGAGTGCGCCCAGATGGCTCCCAACTGGCAAGCCAAGGGTTTCTAGAATCAAGGCCAGCCTAGCCAGGACTCCAGCTCAGCCTTTCCATGTGAGCTTTCTGAGGGAACTGACTTTGCCTGTGACCTGCCCTGTCTGGTCTCCTGTGCACTTTGTGCTATGCATTTGGGATGATCCAAAGAGGGATATTTTTTAAAATGTTGGTAGCTCACCCCTATACTCCTAGCTATTCAGAAAGCTAGGGTAAAGAAGACAATGTCTGAGCCCAGCCTGAGCAACTGGGTGACTCACTGAGACCCTGTCTCAGAAATGGAGTGGGATGTAGCTCAGTGCTGATCCTCAGTCCTGAGGGGAAAAACGGTCTGTGGATGTAGCTCAGCACTCTCTGGGTTCAATACTCAGTAACAAAAATAATATCTGACAAAAATCTAAGGTTCCTGTTGAGGTGGGCAGATGGAGCTCAGAGTGGGGTCAGTAAAGTAGTCTACAATCCTGGAGCCCTTGGACCTCCTGGAATAGCCAGGGGACAGAAGCTGTAGTTGGTCCTGTTTCTCTTGCACTTGAAACTTCCTGCATATATATGAAGACTTAACATGCAAACTCTTTGACTCTTATCTAGAAATTTTTTGTGAGGCACTAATTGATCAAAAGCAGCAAGATAAATGGAGAAGTCTCAGGCAGCATTACTTACTGAGGAGAGACAGAGGCAAGCAGGACACTCGCTAGAGGAAAATTAGAAAGATAAATCATAGAGTCCAATGGAAAAGTCTGCAGTACTCAGAGCTATTATAGCTGTCCACTTCTGACCTTGGAGAGACCTCTACATTGACTTGAGCAGGTGCATGCTAAACACCAGTGGTTTCAATCTAGTTCCAGGTTAGCCCTGACACTGTTGGTACCAACCTGAGTCCCAGGTCCCCTGATCTCTGGCTCTCATATGGATATAAAACACCGGCTACATTTTTACGAGAAAGAGTGTAAAGTAATGGGATTCAGAAAGACAATTTTCCTCCTCATTCTGTGTTCTTACAGTGTGAGCCTGAACAAACTACTTGACACCCCTAGCCTCAGTTTCCTATTTTGTAAAATGGGTCTGATAATTGTCAAGTTTCCAAATGTCCAGAGTTGCCCTGACACATCAGTGAAACCAGGGACACTGAAGAGCTTTAAGAGAAAGGTATTTCTGCAGCAGAATGGTCAAGTGTGTTGGCCCCAGGACCAGCCTGCCTGGGTTCCAATCTGTGCCTCAGTTTCCTATCTGCAAAACAGACCTCCTGTTAGGGACTAAAGAAGACAAGACACCACAATGTTCAGAGTGGTGTCTAGCATACGCTAAGACCCATCAAAGAGCAGCTGTTCTCAGTTTTAATGACCCTAATGCTTGGGTGCTGCTAGCATCCCAGGTTTACTGCAAGGAAATAAGACCATCATCACATTGAACAACACTGGTTCTTAACCTTTGGGGGTCATAGATAGCTCTGAGGCTTTGACAGAATGACCAGTTCTCCAGGAAATAGGAATGGATATAAATTTCATTCCCACCACCGCTGGTCCAGGGGTCTTGAGGAGCCAGTAAAGAGGGGCTCCTCCAGGACCCCAGGAACTGGGCAGGTACCATACGCCCTGAAGGGCCCTCTGGCTCCCAGTAATGAGCTCCATCCTGACTTCATGTTTGGCATCCCAAGGAGCAGTACCCCAGCTGGCTAAGACTGTCATGTTTGCCTGTCTCTGCACAGCTTTCTTGGCCTAGAACTTTTGGTAAGAGGAGAGCAGTTTGGACTAAGGCTCTGCAGGGGCAGAGGATACATAGGAAGCTGGGTACATCTAGGCTGAAGGAAGGATATGCGTAGCCTTGAAGGAACTTTAGGGTGACTGCACCTCCCTGACTGCAGGGGACAGTGAGCTGTGCTCCAGGCCCTGGCATGAAACTTGAAAGGGCTGATGGTGTAGTATGACTGGCACAATCCATTCACTAGGCACCTGGGTGAATGATGCTAAAGTAGGAGTAAATGACAATCTCAAATGTGTCACCTTTCTAGAACCCCCACTGATTTATTCACTCCTCTCTAAGATGAAGAGGACAGTAGGGCCTTCCTCATCGCCAATGGCTGCAGACGAATGAGATGACACAGGGTAAAGAAGAATCATGCCTGGCACAGAGCCTGTGCTCTAAGGATGACTATGCTAGGTGACAATTACTACTGCTGCTACTACTGTTACTGGCTATTGGGGCTGCTACTGTTGTTGTTGCCCTTGATATATCTTCGGGTAACTGACAAAAGATAATTTTGTCTCATCTCAAGTGCTGGGAACTCAGCCAACTCCCTTTTATAATGATTCAAAGGGACACTTCGCAAGCATTTATAGCAGGGCCTTGGGTCCCTGTACAGTATCCCCCAGGCAGGTCTTATTATGACCTCATTTCTGAATCTGGCGGCAGCAGTCTTGGGTATCTAGACAATGTCACCTCAAGTCTCACCAAATTTGTTTTTCTGCCTTAGAACCCACCGAAGCGTGTTCAGCCTCCTGACAAAGTTATAGAGGTATTAGTTATAAATAGGAGTTAGGAGCAGACAATGCCTCAGCCTCTTGTCCTGCCAGGGAGAACTCTGGGATTTGTCCTACCTGTGTCTCAAGGCTCCCAGCAGGATCAAGCCCCAGCTGCCCATGCTGGTGACCAGCTCTCAGATGCATTTATGTTGGCATCTTCTCACCAAGATGGGGCAGGTGTAGGTTCTCATCCCAAGTGAACCCCTGTCCCACTCCTTTGTCTCTGGCGCTGCTTTCAGAGAACCAGCCAAGACATACAAACTCGGCGCCAGGTACTTTGGGGACTCCGCCCCGTGTTAGTTCCTGCAGTAGCTCTATGGGGTATGTTCTCATTTCTGCTTCTCAGATGAGAACTAAGGATCAGCAAGGTAATATCATGTGCTCAAAATCACACATCTGGGAAGTGGCACAGGCAGAATTTGAACCTAGACACCTGCCTTGCGGGACCCAAATCGGTACATTCCTGATGACTGAGGTGGGGAAAGGTGAATAGAAACATTGACTATCATAGCATCCTGCATCCATCTAGCACATGGGTTGAAAACTCAGGCACTTCCAGGGCACCAGGGAGTTCATGACAATATGTTACAGCGGCTGGATGAAGGAGCACGAGGGAGCAGTGGAGAGTGTGGTAAGCAGGCAGTAGACCACCACTGAAGGGCAGCACAACAGGGCCTTCCAGTACACACTGTCTAAGAGAGTTCCAGACAACTGCAGCAACTGGGGTCAGCTCAGGCTTGCGAGATACAACTATTTTTCTTTTACAGTACTAGGGGTTGAGCTGGGGGCCTTTTCAGTGAGCTACATCCACAGCCCCTTTTTATTTTGAAACCGGGTCACACTACATCACCAAATTGCCCGAGCTGGACTTGAACTCCAATTCTGCCTGCTTGAGCCTCCCAGTGTGTTGAGATTACAGGTCTACACCATACCAAGACCAGCTCAACTCTTTTTTTTTTTTTTTTCCAGTGCTGTGGATCAGATCCAGTCCTGGAACATTCCAGGCAAGCACTCTACCACTGAGCCGTATCCCAGTCCTGACTTTTCAAGGAAAGCCTGGATTTTTATAATAAATCGGATGGCAATTAATAGGAACAAAAGCTAACTAAATATTCACTTCTGGGACAATTTCAACACAGAGAACACTGTGGACTCTGGACTCCCTCCAGGACAGGGACCAGCCATCTGCACACAGGAGAGAGTCCTTCTGGACCGCATCTGCCCCAGACAGGTGTGCACACATTACCTGCACTGTGCTCATCCATCGAGAAGGCCTGGTTCTCCATGTAGGTACGTGGCAGGTGCACATCTTCCTCAAATGCTGTCTCCCGCATCCTTGGCTGCGATGTGTCGAAGTAGTTAGGTGGGTTTTCCTGCAGGGGCGGAAGGAGAGCGCAGTGGATCTCGGGAATGGCGTGAAAGACGATGAAGACCCATCCACTGGCTGCCAGTGTGATGGCCAAAGTAGGGTCACTCCAGGCATCTCTGTGGTTTAACATGGCATTGCCGAAGAGGTACATGGTGATCCAGGCCACCCAAATAAGCAGAGAGAGGAAGGTCGTGATCAGAATAAGGGCCCCATTCAGCTTCCACCTCTTGAACTTGCCACAGAGTGTGAAGAGGGCCTGCCCCAGGGTGATCACGAGCAGTACCATGTCGTAAATGAGGGCCATCACGAAGTCCATGGGCTCGTAGGCGCAAGCTGGCTTCGTGTCACGCAGCACTGTCAGCACCAGCCACTCAGTGGCAATGATGACCTGTACCAGCATCAGGCACAATGCCAGGCCCACCATCTGCCAGCCTGCCGGGCTTGTGCCCTGACACACCAGCCTCCGCACACGCCACGCCTGGCTCAGCAGACAGGCAAAGCAAAGTGCGAAGAGGACACCCCAGAGGAAGCGGCGTATTGAGCAGATAGTCTCATCTATCCGGATGATGAAGGCGAACGTCAACCCAAAAAGGCCCAGGGTCCCCAAGAGGAAGAGGAAGTAGAGGCACACAGGCTTCCTCTTCTCTTTGTCTTTGATGTAGGGCAGCCGCACCAGGAGTATGAGCATCAAGAGCAGTGTAATCAGGGCACCTGCCCCGGCCACCGCCTCCACCACGATGCCCCAAATGGCGTCCAGGTCGCACAGAGACACGTACTGAGGGAGGAGGTCTAGCCCGCAACCGCGGGATGTGCTGGCGTTTTCAGAGGCCACAGAGGCAATCACCAAGAGCAGGAGAAAGGCGAGCACCTGATGGGTTCTCATTTTTCTCTCTGAGACCAGGAATGTTCTGAAAAGAGGTAAAGATGATTAGAGAAAAAGGTCCATTCACTGTGAGACTCCTATTCTTCATTTTTTTTCCTTGTAGCAGTGGGGATTGATACACCCCTAGCCCTTTTTAAAATTTTTATCCTGAGGCAGAGTCTTGCTAAGTTCCTAAATGGCTCAGGTTAGACTCAAACTTATGATTCTGCCTCAGCCTCCCAGAATGCTACATTTGCAGATGTGTGCCACCACACCTGGTTTCTCCTGATTTCTGTTAGAAGAGGTATTTAATTCCAAAGGGCACCCAGGAGAAGAGAGTCTGCCCAGAGGAATGGCAGGCAAGAGTAAGGTCCTAGCCCACTCAGAGCCTTCAGACACACCCAGCACACACATCTTCCTTTCCCTATGCACTGTGGGCCCACTGTAGGGGACTTTGTCTCCCATCTGCATTCTTGGCTGGGGACAGGTAAGAGCTGTGAATCACTGTCACTTGTGGCTGGAGTACCTGGCGGGAGGGAGACTCACCTTCTCTGTATACCCTTTAGTGTTCTTTAAATTTGATAGTCCAGGCCTCTTCAAAGTGAAGGAATAAGGCCAAACTTTAAAGACACAGCCACAAGCCAGGCACCACCCTGGAAGAACAGCACACATCCCCCCTTTCAGCCTTCTTAAAAGGCCACCAGCTAACAGTTACTGACCACCGCTCTAGACCATGAACTGTATAAGACCAGTCCTCATAATGCTTATGAGGCAGTTCCTATTGTGACCTCCATTTTGCAAGTGAAAAAAAGGGTCTCCAGGGGGTGACATTTGCACCAAGTCAAACCCTCTCAGAAGTCTCCCAGCCCTCCCTGTGGAGTACAGTTAGCCAGGTACCCAAGGCAAAGATCTCACTCCCTGGATGCAGCTGATCTAGGTTGGAGAATACTAGGGGAACATGTCATGTCTGCCCTGAACATACAGATACATCCTCCTTGTCACCATTCCCTAAACAACAGTGCAACAACTACTTACACAGCATTCACACAGTCTTAGGCGTCATGGAGAAATTATTTCAGTGCACAGGTAGGTGTGCATAAGGCTATAGGCAAATACTACGCCATTGTACAAAGACACTTGAGCTTCCCTGGATGTTGATATTGTCTCTATAGGGGTGCTGGAACTGACACCCTGTGGATACCCAAGGCCCACAGGCTATCCAAAAGGAGCTGTCTGCCTCTGTTGCATGCTTTGCCTCTCCCTCACACATCCCGTCCTCCTCCAGAGAGCTCCAAGCCTCTGGATCTTGGTTCCATCCCAGTTGGTCTCTCCCTGGATGGTTTGCAGACTCCCTGCTGCTTTCTTGCTGCCAAGGAAGTCAGACTAACCAAGTCTCCTCTCTCCCTCTGGCTCTCTCGGCTAGGACACATCCTCCCTTGCAGGGAAAGCTGTATCCCCCAACCCAGCCCTTGGCCAAGGTCACACCCTCACTCCTCTCTATTGCAGCCTGCTTCTTAGCTCTAATCAACTCTGACATTTTTTGCCATTTTATTTTGTTTCCTTTTCTCTTCCCTTCCTGCTTCCCTCCCTTTTTGTCTCTGTCTGCTGCAAAATGTGGCAGGGTGAGGACACTATCTCTCTTGCTCATCAGTGGACCAGGCTTTCTCAGCCTTGACACAGCTGGCAACTGAGCTGGATCATTCTTGTGGGAGTCTGTCCTGTACATGATAACAGGGTGAAGCAGAATCCTTGCCTTTACACAGTAGGTGCCAAAAGCATGTCAACTTCTCCAGTTGTGACCGTCTATCCAAGATGTCTCCAGACACTGCCAAATGTCCCCTGACTGGGAAGCAAAATCACCCAGATGAAGATCTCCAATGAAGACTTAAGCCCTAGTGCACAGTACCTGGTCTAAAGCAGGTGCTGAGTAAATCGTGCGGCCACGACAATCCTATTCATTGGGACTGTCCTCTCACCCACTGCCACCAGTTGGCCCACAAAGCTGTACTCGATGCTCATTTGCAGCCATCTCAAGCTGGACCCACTGAGTTCAGCCTGTGTTTGGGGTTGTAGCCGCCTTACTCCCAGCTGTGCTGGCCAGTCCCTCGGTTTCTGTAAGTAAATGCGTATCGACCGATTCTCTGTTTCTTTATGGAAAGTCCTTGTCTGAGATCCTGCCTTGGCTGTGAAGCCATCGATGGACATAAATTATTAATGCTGAAGAAAGAGAAGGCGCCTGGTGGTGTGGGGACTGTCGCCTCTGCCTACAGATGGCAGTAGGCTCAGAGGAGACACCTGGCAGGAGGGGCTTCTTAAGCAAGACCTGGCCTCCTGCTCAGGTCAGTGTAGGGTGAAGATGTACCTCAAACACTGACAATGGGCTTGTGGCCCAGTCACCAATGCCATTTACAGTGTGTCCACACACTCCCTGTGTAGGAAACTGACTTACGGAGTCCTTAACATCAATCTACTTAAAAGAAAATTAAAGCATTAAAATACTTCTCTGTTGACATTTAAAAACTGCATGTTGATAGAACTCTGTACAAGCTCTGAGCATATCCCAAAGTACCACCCGTAAGAGAAACATCATCTAGACAGAACTGCTTATCATGAGGTCTGGAAAGCAGGCTAGGATCCAAAGTGTAAGATCGGGATGTGTCAGAACAAGATCCACCAGTCCCTGAGACGGTGGAGGGTCTGGAGTGGATTTTCCTCAGACATATCATCAGTGACAGACTCGGTTAGGAGAGTTCTCTGCCAGCCTCAGCAAAACACTCAGGCAGTTCTCCAGGTTGCAGCCAATTCCATCCATCCCCTGGGTGGCCAGGACAGTGACACTGTAGGAAAGTGCTTTGGAGTCTGGACCACCATCCCTCTGCAGAATGCATCCTGAAGCCAGTGGTTCTGAACCAGGGGATGGGGACATTTGACAGTATTTAGGGGTGCTTTGGCTGTCACAACTAGGGGAGAGAAGAACAGTCCTCACCACAAAAAACCACCTAGCTCTGTAAATTAATAGTGCTAAGGTCGGGAAAGCCTGGTTTAGACACAAAGGCAGAGGTGTGATGGGGAGGATGCCAGAAACCAGCCAAATCTCAGGTCTGCATCACATACTCCTTTAGTTGTGCTTTTCCTCTCTCATCGGGGAGCTCCTCTTTCCAGGTTTTGATGCACACTGAGACTTGGTCCCCCCACTTCCCACCCCTGCTTCCTTCTTGGCCTTCCAACCATTATAGGAAACCAATGGAAACGGTGAGAGCACCAAGATGGAGTGCGAGGTTCTGGTCCAGATCCCCAGCTCCAGCTCCTTTCCTACACAGGGAATGAATGCACTCTTACTTTTTGCTTTCATGCCTGCAAATGGCACTTGACTCAGGCCTGGTCAATCAGACCATGAATCCTGTTAGTCTCAACTGGTTCACCTACAGACATGTGGTCCAAACCAGATCCATGAGAATCACTTCTAGGATTTTTGCTAGCATAAACCAGAAAGAGGTCTTCTCTTTTTGCTGGGTTTGATAAGCTAGCAGGCTAGAAACCTGGCAATGGAGGACAGATATGCCATATAGGGAGAGAAACCTGTCTAAAACAACAAGGGATGGAGTAGAGTCCTGATACACTGAATAGCTGGATTCACCTGGGCCGGAAGCCATATCTGGGCTTTGCAGCAGCCAATTAAATTCCCTCTTATAAATTAAGCCAGTTTCAACTGGACTCCTATCCCTTGCCAAGAAGTTCTCATATTCTTCCCACCCAGAATGGCCCACTTCTCCCAGGAAGTTCTCCCTATGTAACATCTAGACATACAGATGCAGCCTATGGTAGCTGATAGTGAAAGGAAGGGCCCAGTTGCCAGAGAAAGTCACTTTCATTCTGAAGATGCCCACAAGGGCACAGCCACCCCACTGCACAGCACAGCGGGCAGGCAGGATGGCTGAGGCTGGTGGGGGCTGAAGTGCACCAAAGCTGAGACATAGGCTCATGCCTGATTTCTCACACTGGCAAATGCCTGCAGCTTCCCAATAATGCTGTGGAGACACTTATGATAACCAGGCGGTGCTCTAGTGAGTGCTCTTCTGAGTACCACACATGTAACACCCAAGAATCGGCGGAACAGCCCTGTAAGGCACATTCAATCTCATCTCCATTTACAGGAGATAACAGTGTGTGACAAGGAGGGCACAGGGTTTGTCCAAGATCATGCAGCTAGAAAGTGGTAGAGCCTGTTTCTGAGCTTTTACTTTAGAGCAGGGTTGGGAAGCATCCCTTGGCAAGATTTGCTAGCTGGCCAGTCCATCTAAATTAGGTTCTCCCCACCCTGCCATCCTCTACACCAGAACTGTTGATCCTTATCTTTGTAGCACAGGCCACAGTTTTCCATGATTTCATTTCTACTTTTGATCTGTTTCTCCCCATCCCACCTCCAGTCCAGGCCATCCGTCTTGTTCTGGTACTCTGCTGTTGAATGAATTTATTATAGTCTTTATCCCTCAAATCAGAAGGGCAGGAATTCTTACTCCTGTTTATAGAGGAGAAAACCCAGGGTCTGATAGCTTTAAGTTGAAGTTTGAGGCTTGGAATGGTACTATAGGATCACTGTGGGGCATGTTAGAAAGCAGACTTTCAGGGGATCTGGCTGCCTGTGTCCACAAGCCCTGCAGGTGATGCTGGGGTACACTGGGCTCCATGAACAAGGCCATATCCAGCAGGAAGCACTGCTCCTTCTCAGGCAATGCCTGTGTGAGGTAAGCCCTGGCCTTGTTAAAGCAGCCACTCAGGGCCTCCCACCACTAACAGCTGGGCAGCTTTCCAGGAGCCCCCAACCTGAACATTTTCAGATTAGAGGCCTCAAGGCAAGGCCATTGGGCATAGGATGAATACATGGCAGGGACCCCAGGGGATACAAGCCAGTGGCTCCTCCAGAGGAGCAGTGAATAAATGTGAACGAACTTGCAAGACTCGGCTCGCATGCTAATTACCTTTGCTGCCAGCCAGACTCCCAAAAATGTGAGTCATTCATGTTCTAAAATGCATCCGCATAGACTGCAAATGCCACATAAGTGCACACATGTACACACACATACACACAAGCACAGGTTGCACATGTGAGCACAGACTCTCCACAGAGGAGCCAGAAGCAGCTCTGCTGGCAGGTGCAGGAGCAGCTTCCTGTTTCCCTGTGCACTGAATCCTGCAGAGGCTGGAAAAGATGTGGATACACTTTCTTGAGTAAGAAGGACAGCTAGACCTGTTGGTTCTCCAGCCCAGTGTCTCGTTAAGGCAACAGGCACGAACTTCAGAGACAGACCTCCCAGATTTGAATCCTGCCCTATGGGCTGGGGATGTAGGTAAGTGGCAGAATACATATCCAGTTTCCTCAAAGCCCCAGATTCCACTCTTACCTCTGCCAAGAAAGAAAAAAGATCAATTCTGCCCCACACTCCTTGCCAGTCCCCTGTCACCATTCATGGCCAGCTTAAAGTTTTTTTCTTTTTTTGCCTTTATTTTCTTGTCTGAAAAATAAGGATGATACTATTGGCCTCTCTTGGGATTGTGGTGAAGATATTATGACTAATAATTGGGGTTTAGAGCAGTAACATATATAATCACTTATATATAAAGTGTCTGTTAAGTGAATAAAAAAGACACAAATGCTTCCTTATCTGGGTGGTGAATTCTTCTGAAACTGTTTTTCTAAGGGAGTGGTTGCCATGGAGATGCTGTGTGTATGTGTGAGTGTGTGCATGCCTGTGTGTCTTTCACCTTGGTATTTTCCCACCGCTGGACTCTGGCTTTCTTTACCACCCACCAAGCAAAGTGAGCCATGAAGAAGTGATGGAAAAGGAAGATTCCTTGGGGGTGGTCTACTCTGGGAACCCCCAGATGTCTCTGCTGTGCTGGACAGGTGCTCTGGGTGGGAGCATCACTACAAAGACAGAAGCCAAGGCCAGCCCAGGGGCCCTGAAGCATCTCTCTGGTGGGGTCACAGCCAGGACTCAGGGAGACCAAGCACCAGCTCTTCTTTTGGGAACCAGAATCCTCTTGCCCTTCCATACATGGGAAAGATGAAACAGAAAATCTAAAATCACTCTGGAACACACCATTCCGACTATCGTGACTCTCCTGCTACCAGCAGGTCTCAGAGGACAAAGTTCACCCTCACCTGGGTCCTTTCCCAGGTGCTCCCCTCCAAAAAGATGGAGGGAGGTACTTTACAAGGAAGGGAAAGGGGGAAAAAATGCCAAGGAGGGGTGCTTTCTGTTCTAGCCCATAGCTTTCCTAGCCCCAGGCACATTTAATAGTTCAGCCCCCAGATGAATATCTGGCACAGTTTCCATGCCAATCAGACTCCTCCAGAGTGAAAGATCTCCGCAGGATGGAGGCCAGGAGAGGGGCGTCAGACAAAAGCACATGACACTGGACATAACTTCCCTGGCCCTCGGTCTCATCTATAGGATGAGGATGACTGCACCATCTTCATGAGGCTGGTTTGAAACCACAGTACCAGTACCTGGCAAGGAGCTTGGTTCCTGGCACAGAGAAAGCAAAGGGCATCTACCCGTTCAAAAGCCTCATAAATACCACTGTTCCGTGGGGACAAAGAAGGCAGAAAGGTTAAGCAGTTGGGCAGAGGCTTACTGGAACTGACGGACCCCGCAGCGACTAGAACCTATTTCTTTCAGGTCTGGACCCCAAGGCTGTTCCACTGTCCTCCTGGTCCAATTCCTTGTGTCTGACAGAAGCCAGGAGCCAGGTTCCCCCAAGAACCTCAGCATCACAGTGTCCTAGCCCACTCCCACAGCAGCACTGGTGCATTTCTTGCTTGGCTGGATTCAATGGTTACAAGATTTCCTGACATTAAACTCTTTCCCAGACCCCAAAACACGCCTCTGACATCTTTTCCAAGTTATACTATCTCATATCTTCATTTCCCAAAGCTGACTTAAAATACTGGCCTATTTTGCAGCTCCCCAACTAAAAAACCCTCAGAGGTTAGTGAACAAGGCTGCAAGAACACAAGCTCTATGATCCATGACAAACTCAATGATCTGTGCAAAGCAGTCCAACCCTGTAAATAAAAGCAATCATTTGGCTGCCCCTTCCACTGTGCTGGTCCCTCTGCAGTAAAAGTGACTAACTCTCCGAAACCACAGGAAGTTGGGCGGAAGTGTTTACAGGACCCTGGGCTATAGGTGGAGTCTGATTAGGGTAAGAACTGTCTGAAAGTGGGGATAATCTAAAAAATCCAAGCCACTCCTCTAGTTAAGCTCCTTGGGCTGAGACGTTCCAAAGTGGTCCCAGCAGCTGAATAGAAAGGGATCTGCTGCTTGCTTCCTCCTGGATAAGGGAGCTTTCAAAAAATCAGATAGTGCGAATTCCCGCTCAGAGTGTTGCAAGGATTTGCCAGCCCAACAGAATTAACCCTAAACGCCTTTCCAGGGCCCCAGAGGGGGTGATCTGGCCGATGCGACGCCTGCCACTCGCTTCCACCCCCAAATCTGCCTCGGGCTCCAGCCACAATGGCCTTTGTTCAGTTTCCCTGGGCTGCTGCTCCCACCTTCAAGCCTTGCCGGCCAGCCGTGTCCTCTGCCTAGTTCACGCTTTCTCCCACACTTCCCAACCGCGGCCAGCCCACCTCACGGCCCATTCCAATGCGCTCCCTACGCCCATGCCACTTCCCTTGCCCTGCCTTATTTTCCTGTAGCCCCAGCCCAATCGGAGGTGTCATCTATTAGCTCCTCATCTGCTTCTTCAGTGTTTGCTAACCCATCTCCTCAGCCCCCTAAGGGCAGGGACCTGTCCATTTTATACAAGAAGTTACCCTAATATCCACTTGCACATTTGTTAAAATAAGAAATTAACCGATAAAGATTTTTAAGCGCATCTTTCTAATGAACCTGTTTGTCGTGCTGCCTGGGCCCCAAATGGACACTTATCCCCCACCGACCTTCTCCCCTTCCATCTCAGCTCACCCCTTTTGAGACTCAGAGCAGCCAATGGATCGGAAACAATGTTCACTCCACTGTCTAGATCGAAAACTGGCCGGGGGCAGGGCTCTCAACCAACAGCTGCCAATTTGCATTTCATTTACATGTAATTTGCATGCAGTTGAACTCAAAGTCTGGCTATTCCAAAAGCCCCCAGAGTCTCAGCCGAAGAAGAAACTTCTGAAATAACGTTCCTTGGCTGAAGTGCTGAGGTCTCGTGCCAGGCCCCTCCCCCACTCTTGTTTTGCGGGGATCCCCGAGTCTTCCTGGCCTCCACTGAGGTTCCCCCATTCCGCCGCATTTGGCAGCCAATGTGGCGCGTGTGCCGGGGCCCCAGGCGGGGACGGTACTGCCCGCCACACTCCAGGGGCCTTTGTCCGCGCTCCAAGAAGCCGCCCCCTTACCAATCGGGGACTCGGAGGGGGAATTGGCTCGGCCAGGGTGTGACAGAGCAAGGACTGGGGAAGGAGCCCGCCGTGCTGGGGCGCCTCCGAGACAAGGTCGGTGCGCCCCCTCTGGGCCGGGTCAACCGGGGGTCCGGGGCCCAGGCGGGTGCTGGCTCCAATCCGGTGCTGCATATGTGGGGCCCTCATTTGGATGGGAGCCCGTGTCCCCATCAAAAGGGGACAGGGCACAGGGTTGGTCCGTACCCTCGCCTGGCTTCCTCTCTGGGAGGCCCAAGTGTTCCGCGTCTGGAACGGAAAAGACCCTCTTCCTTTGTACGCAGCCGCCTCCAGCTCCTGCCCAGTTTGTCCCGCAGCCTGGGGTCTCATCCTCCCCGTTGCATCCTCTCTAGCCCTCGCACCCGGTAGTGGTGGTCTCCGCCGCAGCCACGAGCTCGGCCCCAGTCCCTGCGGCAGGTGTGCGGCTGCTCGGCCCCCAAGTGCTGCCCTTGCTCCCCCCCCTCCCGCTCGGTCTTCACCCGACGCGGACCCCTCCCCATCCGCTGGCCACTCGGCCCCGGGACCGCCCGGGGCTTCGCTCACACCAGTCATCCGCGCACCGAAGCTCTTCACCTGTGGTCACCCCTCCCTCCTTCCCCAAGGGACTTGGAACTGCACTCGGTCTACATACACAGCCCCCTAGCTTCTCAGATAAAGGTCTCCAGCTCCTCCTCCCCCGCTCCGCCTCTGCGGCTCCTCTCCCGCCGCACTGTGACTCCCCTCAGCCGAACCCCATGGCTCCCCATGATTAACCCTGGGTGGGGGGAGGTGGTTAGAAAAGCCCAAGAAGCGGACTCTCCAATCGTCCCAGGCCCACCGCGCCAAAAGTTTCTGGGGTCCCCGCAGCGCCCTCCACAGTGTCCACACAGCTCGCACTCACCGAACCCCGCGCCCCGCAGCGCTCACGCTCCTGCTGGCCCTCGGCCCGAGTCACATCTCCGCAGCGCGGCCGCGGCCCCGGTTCCGCGCACGCCCGCCCGCGGCTCGCGCCTCACTGCATAGCCCTCCAGAGCAGCAGCCGAGCAAGGCGCCCCCTGGCCCGGCCCGCGCTGCAGCAGCGAACGTGGCCCCGCCCTCTGCCCCGCCCCCGCCCAGGCCCCGCCCCCTGTCCCGCAGGCTCTTGCTGCCAGCGCGCAACCCGGGCGCAAGCTCTTAGCTCCTCTCAGAGATCACTCTCTGGACTCCAGGACCCCAAATTTCAGGACTCCTGACCTTAGCCACCGTTTGCCCAGGCAGTTGAGACGCGTATTGGCCCATGTCCCTCCGTTTGCAGAAGCATTTGTGTCTACAGGCACAGAGGTTACTCCCACGGGGGTCCTGAGGCAATGCCTTTTCCAGCGTATCACATGCTTCAGCGAGGGCTCATAAGCAGTGACCTCCCCGGACACTTTTGCACCGGACCAGAACACAGGCATCTCCAAGTGGCTGCTGCCCCAATCTACTACAGTGAGGCACATTGCACGCGGCTCGGGCTCCTCTCGATAGACCCCTCTTGATCACATTCCCACGTGTTCTTGTCCCTTTGCGCTCTGAGCCCAGTGCACATCGCCCACGGATGCACAGGTCCTCCGCTGTCCCTGGCGCACACACTTGGAGGTCGGGGCTCCTCGGCGTGCACTTCGCAGACGCTCAGGTTTCACTAAGGGTGCTAGCCCACAGGGTGGCCCTCGGGCCTGCGTGAAGGAGGGTTGCAGGGCAGCCCCCAGCTTGGGCATTGAGTCCTCCTGTCGAAGGTCAACATTGAGGGGATCAGACCTGGGGAGGGCTGCGCTCCAAATACCCAGAAGGGACTGATTCCCAGGATGACCTTCAGTCCAAAAGCTGAAAGTTCATAGTGCTTCGCCCCACCGAAGAACAAAACACACCTGTGAGGGTCACCCTTTCTGCTCCCTCTAGCTTCCCAGGGTGACTCTTCTACTCCCAGCCTCATGAAACAGGAAGACACCACTGGGAGATGACCTTTGCTAAGGCTAGCTCCTGAGTGACACTCTTTTGTAGGCGGGGTGCTGCACCTGAGTTTGGGGCACTTTACAAAAACTCCTGTCCCTTCTGTGAGCCTCCTGTCTGCGGCTTCCAGTTTGGGTTCCTCCAAGCCAGTTTTTTTCCATCCCAGGTCAGACCACGTACTTCTTGGACACGTAACACAGTGATATATCTCTGGTTTTTAAGGAAAAGTGGAAGGGAAGAATGTCTAGCGCGGATTCCACTTCACCCTCAAATTTGCTGACGTGTCTTTAGCAATCAGAGTAATGCCTGGTACACTACAGGAGCTCATCAAACATCTGCAGGACTTTTTTCCCCCCGTGTGCTCCCGCGAGACTGCGGAATTGGAAAGTGAGCCGGCACTGCCACCTGGTGGAATTGTCGTCGAGGTCCCGTAGCGCGCAGGTTCTGTATTCTGAAACTTCTTTTTCTTTTCTTTCTTCCTTTCTTTTTTGGTGGTACTGGGGATTGAACTCCAGGCCTTGTGCATGCCAGGCGAGCACTCTACAGCTGAGCTACATCCCCGGCTCACACACCTCATTTTAATAGTTACACACATTTCAGCCTGTGAAGGGTTTCACACAGTTTCTGGCACCTGGAAAATTCTCAGTGTGAGTTATTAAGATTGGAATTATAGTTGTTTCCCTATAGTTGCTCCAGCTTGTTTTTAGAGGGGGACCTTGACCGTGACTTGTCCAGGTTAGTTTTGATGACATTTCAGAAGCTAAGAGTGAAAAGGAAGCATGATACTGGGTGGTGGGTGTGTCCCTCCCCTTGCTCCTTAAGAACCTTCGAAGTTTGCAGGGTGGTAACAGTGGTAATGCTAAGGCGCAGTTTCCATAGTGCTCTCCCTGTGCTGGGAACAGTTCTGAGTACTTTAAACCCTTTAACTCCCTGAATTGTCCCAGTAACCCTTTTACTTAAATACCGTTATTTGCCCTATTTAACAATTTGAGTCACCGAGTTCCAGAGCAGGGCAGCACTGGTCTACAGTCATCCAGCTGGCAGAATGGGGTCCCAAACCAGGCTCTGTGGCCCATGTCCTCATCCAGAGGCTCACTGGTGTCACTTTGCTGCAAAATCAAACGCTGTCCCAGAGGCACCCCTGTCCTTGGAGGGCTCCCTGGGCCCCAGCCTGGGAGAGAATAACTCTAGGAGACTCAGGGCGTGGTGTGAGGCTGTCGCTGCTTGTCCAGCTCTGGCTAATGAAAGACAGTGGCTTCCCTGGCACTGAAAACTGCTGGGGCTGTGACTTGCAAATAATGAGGTTGTGATTTGTACTCAGGTGTTTTGTGTGTGTAGTGTCCGTCCCTCCTACCAGGCCGAACCTCAGCACTGTCCACACTGGGCACCCCAGCCCTGCACAGGTGACTAGTATGACTGTGGAATATAACTTTCTGTTTTATTTACTTTTGGTAATTTAAACATAAATAGCCACAGGTAGCCAGCAGCTACTGAATGTACAGTGTCTAGCATCAGAGAGGACAAAACCCATGTTTCATGTTCATCCCTGTATGCCGTGACCAGCATGGGGTGTGGTTCATCAAGTGCTTGTTGACTGAAAGAATACTTACATTTCAATCTTGCTTTTCTGTTATGGTTTAAAGCTGAAATGCTCCCCAGGTAGGGCTTTTGGGAGTGGTTGGACCATGGCCAGGTGAATGTGGATTAAGGATATGATAACTGGAGGAGTGCACCCATTGGTTTCACCCAGTTTTGGGTGTGAGTAAGGGGAGGGCCCTCCTGGGGCTGGTCATCCAAAAGGCTTGTACCCTGGATTTGATAAAAGGGAAATGAAGGCTCACTGCTTGCCCTTTCTGCCTGCCCTGCCGTGGCCTGCCTGTCCTCTGCCATGCTATCCTTGCCTTGGAGCCAGATTATGGACTAAACCTCTACAAACCGTGAGCTAAAATAAACCTTTCCTCCTTTAACTTCTGGTGTTGGGTATTTTGTCTCAGCAATGAGAAAGTAGCTAAGACATTTCCTCTATAAAGTATTATTCTCTCCCCAGACCTTTCAGGAGCCTCTTTAATCTGCAAGTAATTAGAACATCTCCCAAACAGTGTTGAAGCTGTCCATCCAACTCCAGGAAGCATCTTGCTATCACCATGGAATCTGCTGTGGGCGTCTGTACTTTCCTTTGATGAAACTGAGGCTTGGACAAGTTGGGGCTTTCCCACAGTCTCCAGCTGGTCAGTGCAGAGGTGGGGTTCAAGCCCTGTTGGTTCTTACTCCCCACTTCCCTGTGCTACTGCCCTGTGGGCACCACTTCCAAAACATCACCCGGCTCTGTGGAGAAGCTGGCTGGGATGGCGGGATCTGGACACCTGATCCCTCGAACTACCTTGGCCAGGTGATTGCCTGACGGTGGGGCCCTGACCCTATCAGTTAGGTGCTAGGCTCTGTGTCAGATGCTGGGTGCTATGTGAGCTGCTTTTAGGGAGCTCCAGTTGGTAAAGGAGGCAGACTTGTGGCGGGACCTCCTATTGGAGTCCCACGGACCGCGGCATGGCCCAGTGGAGAAGGGGCTCAGGCTTCCCAGAGATCTAGAGCTTGGCTTTCCCCGGAAGGATAATGGGGAACACTTTAAACTGTCTGCACCTCTGCACTGGGAGCACCACCTAAGCAGATGTAGGACACTACTGTACCGCTCCACTGTTTAGTGTCCATAACAGACATCAGCA